CAAAACCTTGAATCCCCAATACCTTGAGTACTCAAACCTTGAATCCCCAAATCCCCAAATCTCCAAAACCTTGAATTCCCAGAACCTTGAATCCCTAAAACCTTGAATCCCCAAATTCCCAAATCCCCAAATCCCCAAATCCCCAAATTCCCAAATCCCCAAGTCCCCAAATCCATAAATCCTCAATTCCCATCAAACTTCCACATCCCAAATTCCCAAATTTCCTATTCCCTTAAATCATCGCTAATCAGTAAATAAATGTCGAATGCCGCTAAACCTACAAACCTACACTCAAATAATGCGTCTCCTTGCTCACAACTGTACCACTGTTCAGAAGCCACTGTTCCTGTACCTCGCCCCGTCGCAGATAGTCACAGCCATAAGTCGATAATAATGAACAGAAATTGATACAAGCGGTAGCGCAAACATTGTTTAACACCTAAGACGTTGACGCTTGCTCGCGAAACAAGCTTCTAATAGTGTAGTCGGGAGAAGTTTGATGAGTTACGGCCGTAAAGTTGCTCGCAGACAATCAACCATTTATGATCTAACGTGTCTCGGATTTACACGATTCGCCGCCATACCATAGGTTACAACGCTATCGTTCTATTTTGTACACAAAATATTCAGATTGGAAGAAAGCAATTTTTAATACTCTCTTGGCATCGCTGGTGAATTTAAATTATCAAGTTTATGATTAATTTGTCAATTTGTTAATTTGTCAATTTATATTTACATGAGCTCTGGGATATTTGCATCGTTATTGATGTTATTACTAATTTTTGTTTTATGGGAAACATGGTGGGGTGACAAGGTGTTGTTTAATTATGATACTTGTCACAATAAATGTTACAATATTTGTGTATTTTATTACAAGCATATGTTTATTTATTTTATCATAATAAATGTTACAATATTTCATATGCAGTTTTAATTATTAATGTTTGGAAGTAAATTATGTCGGAATTTAAAGACACGTTTCACATCATCATTTTAAATTATTATTTGAAATTATTTTGTATGAAAATAATTGTACATTGTATCAAATTAAAATATGTCTAAATTTAAAGAGACCTGTCACATCACAAAATTGATTTCATTCAATAAACCATCTCGAAGTACAAAAGAACGTCTTCTTACAGGAAAATAATAAAGATCGAAGAAAATGTACTCGCCAAAATCTACGAACGTAAATATCCGAAAGAGGGTATTAACCTCAACTTTCGACTTGTTTTCCAAGAGTCTTGTCAGAAAAGGATGTGAAACGGCTACATCACGTTCGCATTATACCTCGACTGGTTCTGAGGCTGTGGTTGAATTATTATCTTCTTCTGGATATTATTTCACGAACCTTTGGAGTGACACGACTCAAACAGTAAAAACGATGTTTCGATAAGAACCAAGCAATATTGCATGGAGGAAGGAAATTAGGTCGCGAATGTTTATCCTGTTGTTGTTTTCCACGGGGAAGATGAAAATAACGTTTTACTTGTGAAAATATGCTGTTCCTTTTAGAGACTGCTGAAACACCTGTTGACAGAGTGGACAAAAGATGCTTATGTTTCTGTTTTGAGCAATTTGTTCCTTTGTGAAATTTGGTATTAGCATTTTATGGATTATATTACAATTTATTTATAAAATTTAGTGAATTAAAATTATTGTTATAGTTGTCTTTGAATGCAATAATTGTTATTCTAAATTCTAATCTATAGCTATAAATATTAATATATGAATGCCATTCGTATACCAATATTTTATGACGCACATGATGCGTCACTATTTGTTACACCAGTATTATATGACACACCTGGTGTGTCACTACGTATTGTACCAGTACCATGTGACGCACCTGGCGTGTCACCACTTGTGATACCAGTATTATGACACGCACCTAATGCGTCACCATATATTTTATGAATATTATATGACGCACCTGGTGTGTCACCACTTGTGATACCAGTATTAAATGACGCACCTAATGCGTCACCATATATTTTATGAATATTATATGACGCACCTGGTGTGTCACCACTTGTGATACCAGTATTAAATGACGCACCTAATGCGTCACCATATATTTTATGAATATTATATGACGCACCTGGTGTGTCACCACTTGTGATACCAGTATTAAATGACGCACCTAATGCGTCACCATATATTTTATGAATATTATATGACGCACCTGGTGTGTCACCACTTGTGATACCAGTATTAAATGACGCACCTAATGCGTCACCATATATTTTATGAATATTATATGACGCACCTGGTGTGTCACCACTTGTGATACCAGTATTAAATGACGCACCTAATGCGTCACCATATATTTTATGAATATTATATGACGCACCTGGTGTGTCACCACGTATTGTACCAGTACTATGTGACGCACCTGGCGTGTCACCACTTGTGATACCAGTATTATGACGCACCTAATGCGTCACCGTATATTTTACCAGCAATATATGACGCACCTGATGTGTCACCATATATTGTACCAGTATGTGACGCACCTAGTGTGTCACCACTCGTGACACAAGTATTATATGACGCACCTGGTGTGTCACCACTTGTGATACCAGTATTAAATGACGCACCTAATGCGTCACCATATATTTTATGAATATTATATGACGCACCTGGTGTGTCACCACTTGTGACACCAGTATTATATAACGCACCTAATGCATGACCATATATTTTACCAGTATTATATGACGCACCTGGTGTGTCACCACGTATTGTACCAGTACTATGTGACGCACCTGGCGTGTCACCACTTGTGATACCAGTATTATGACGCACCTAATGCGTCACCGTATATTTTACCAGCAATATATGACGCACCTGATGTGTCACCATGTATTGTACCAGTATTATATGACGCACCTGGTGTGTCACCATGTATTGTACTAGTACTGTGACGCATCTGGTGTGTCACCACTTGTGACACCAGTATTATGTGACGCACCTAATGTATCACCATATATTGTACCAGTATTGTGTGACGCACCTGGTGTGTCACCACTTGTGACACCAGTATTATGCGACGCACCTGGTGTGTCACCATGTATTATGCTAATGGTAAAATTTTATAGAATATGTTAAAATTTTAAGACTTCAAAAAAATGTCAAAAACATTCCAACGTAATGTTTGCACCCTTAAAGTCAAATAAAGTTGACGTTTAAATATTAATATGTGAATGCTGTTTATTTTCCGCGGAGGAAAGGGTTGTTTGACGATCGAAGCAATAAAGTCACGTGATTCGTTTGATCGTGATACGAGATCCTTTGAGGATATCCTGGATCGGCAGGACGTCGAAATTGCGAGAAGTGGTACGTGCCTGTAGCGGAGACGCGATACGAGAAACACGAAAAATCCTGGAATAATATTACGTAAAGTTACGGGGGGTGCTGAGAAGTTCTCTCATTTCCAGGGGAAAAACGAAACACTCGAAAGAAAGTTGAATTCAACGTCGCGAATTGTGCGAAGTCACCGGGAACGCGTTTTCCACACGACCTCGTTGCTTACTGTTCAACGTTTCTTTAAATCTCTAACCAAAAAACACTTATGTTTCCGACACATTATTGCTGGAATGGTCACGAAATTCCCTTCTAAATATATTTGATCACACGGAATGAAATATAGGAAAATATGTCTGGAATTTTTCGAAGAGAGCAAGTGTACGAATACTTTTGTCCTCCAAAGCTGCGTTAAAATTAAAATATTTCAAAAACTCAGAAGAGCAGTTTCGTTGTACCACACAAAAATTAGCACCAGTATCGTATGAAAATCCCGTATCTTGCCAATCAGAAAAATAAATATCTTGGAATTTAATGAACGTTTTGCTTGGTAAATGCATCATCGACAATCGATAATAGGTCCGTGTATCGAAAAAGGCCGCGAGCTGACCAGGCACGATCGAGGTTATTATAATTAGAAATTTAGTAGAATGTCGGTTATACGGGTGGTTTGGGGTAAACCGTTGGACAGGCGGCAGCATTAATATCGGTACGTATTACCGACTATTAAACGGCGAATGGATCGACGTAATTACATGAGGAAGAGGGTCGAAGGCCGACAGTGGCTGAGCAGACATTGGCTCGTACTACTGTGCCATATGTGGAGCCACTGGCAAACGTAATTTCTATGCGATCGTATGTTCAATACATGTCGGATTATTACATTCTATATCGTAATCGGGTGCATAATCGTATTTTCTTTGATCAGCGGCTTTCCGTAAACCTGAGTAAAATGAAACTCCTTCATGTTGTGATTTTCGACGTAATTCTTCTTTGGTTTCTTTGTATCATTTATTTGGATATTTAGTATCGATATTGGTACATAAAATGTATTTTGAGAGCAGAATGTTTTGTAAATTAATTTTATTTTCATATTTAGATGGAGATATACATATGCAGATATACATGTAAACATATGAAATTATCAAAGTTGTATTTGGTCGAATTAGTTTCTACCTTTAATTTTGTGCGTTAAGGTAATGTAACAGTCCGTAAGAATCTGCTTCAAAACACTTCTGAATTTTATTAAAATTTGTTTAAATGTTCATGGTGTTTCCAAGTTTAAATTTGAAACTATAGGTAAAATTATTCTATTGGAGATATTTTACCTGAAACTTCTTCCTTAATAAATTAAAAATTTCTACTTAACGAACTTCATTAATTTTAGATCCATCTGCGAAGCATAAATGCTCATTTCGTATTCATTTTCATAATATATTTGCAGTGGAAGCTTATCTAAAGTGCTTTCGAGATTCTGATGATCCCCTAAACTCTGCATCCATTTTCCACTTGTTTGTTTTGCATAAAACTTAAGTAGAGTTCGAACTCCAAAAAAATGTCACTCGAATAAATCAATCGATACAACTACACCGATACAATCGTTATTGTTATATTAAATCGTTACCATCTGAATATTCACACTTGTCCTCTTTTTAGATTAGTATAAAACTGATGTGACATATTTCTGATTGCAGGTGCAATTTTTGAGCAGGGCACCGACGAAGTTCAGTCAGCCTTCAAATTTGCGATGTTCAACCACAACCAGAATACAACTCGCAAGTTTGACTTGCAGGCTTTCGTAGACGTAATTAATACCGCGGATGCCTACAAACTATCCCGCCTCAGTAAGTAGAAACTTTATCTATTTGGATAAACCAACGTTACATATTTCCGATATATGCGTATCTTTCCATCAGTTCGTATCGTAAGTTCAGTACGTAACACCTAGATAAACTTTCAGTTCGTAGATTTTGGAAAACTTTCTCATGACATAACATCTATTACATTATGCAAATAGCTGTGACACACTTCGTGCGTCATCTATTACATCATACAACTGGCATATTAATTTGATACGCGTAGTTCGTCGAATATGTCATATAAATAGTACATGACTCACCTGGTGTGTCACCAGCTTACATTGTATTTATAGCGACAGACACACATGGTGTGTTATGCCGTACATTGTGGAAAATGCATATGACACACACGGTGTGTCGTTGCTTGAATCCTATAAATAGCATATGACGCACTTGATGTGTCACCTTTTTTTATTAGCTATTACACCAGTATTATGTGACACACCTGGTGTGTCGTCACTTGTTACACTAGTATTATATGACGCACTTGGTGTGGCACCATGTATTGTACTAGCACTATTTGACGCACCTGGTGTGTCATCACTTGTTACACTAGTATTATGTGACGCACCTCATGTGTCACCGTATAGTGTACCACTACCATGTGACGCATGTGGTGTGTCACCATTTGTTACTCTAGTGCTATGTGACGCACTTGATATGTCACCGTATAGTGCACCACTAACATGTGACGCACCTGGTGTGTCACCCCTTGTTACACTAGTGGTATGCGACGCACCTCATGTGTCACCGTATAGTGTACTACTACCATGTGACGCACCTGGTGTGTCACCACTTGTTACACTAGTATTATGTGACGCACCTGGTGTGTCACCGTGTAATGTACCACTACCATGTGATGCATGTGGTGTGTCACCATTTGTTACTCTAGTGTTATGTGATGCACTTGATGTGTCACCGTATAGTGCACCATTAACATGTGACGCACCTGGTGTGTCACCACTTATTACACTAATGGTATGTGACGCACCTCATGTGTCACCGGATAGTGTACTACTTCCATGTGACACACCTTGTGTGTCACTACTTGTTACACTAATATTATGTGACGCACCTGATGTGTCATCGTATAGTATACCACTATCATATGATACACACGGTGCGTCATCAACCTACTATAAAGCAGTTCCTACCACACATAGTGCGTTATTACTCACATCATAAAAGTGTCATCTGAGTGCATCATCGTTGCATACATGATATACTAAATTCAAAATTACCGATAATGTATGAAAGCATTCTCGTACCATTTGGGCAAAACCGAACGACGTCACCGTGTTCGAGATATCGGGCCAGTATCAAGAACATCGATCGATCGACAATACTCAGGTTCGTACGTGCCAGAACATGCGACATCATGGTCTCCATTGAAAGCTGACAGGGGCTGAAATCGGCGCTGCATCTGGGCCACGAAATAAGTAACGTTTCGCAGAAGATACTAATCTTGTTGCTTCATCGGAACGCCTCTATTTCTCGCCTTTGGAAGTCATGCACGTACGGCGACGTGGATCGAAACACTTGTTATCGTATCGATCGCGAACAGGAAACTCCCTCGCAGATATTACATCCGCGGCGATACGAACATGACACACCGTGCTCTTCATTGTCTTATGAAATTCTAGGCATTTCTTTGTTACGGAACACTGGTTTCATGTTTAAATACATTTCGAACTAATTTGATTAAATTGGGTGTTAGGTTGAATTAGGTTAGGTTGTGTTTTAAAGTTCAAGTAAATTCACTCACTCTTTTATTGCGACAATATGTTTATATTTGTTATAAGATTTGTTATATTTGTTTGGAATCTAGTTTAATTTGCAGTTAGACCAAACTAGGTTATGTTATCGTATATTGTATGTTGGATCATGTTGTGTTAGGTTATGTTATATTCTAATCGAGTTAAGACATTAGTCTTGTCAGTATTATTGATATATTTTATATGTTATTACAAATTTTATATTTCACTCCAAACTGTTATTTTTTTATTTAGGTCAGACTAGATTATGTTAATTTATATTGTACGATGGTGGATCATGTCGTATTAGGTTATGTTACATTCTAATTGAGTTAAGACATTGGTCCTGTCAGTATTATAGATATATTTTATGTATTATTATAAATTTTATATTTCACTTCAAACAGTTATTTTTTGTATTCAATTTCAAATTGTTGTTCTTCATTGTATTGCAAGCTATCCAACATTTACAACATTGATATTTCGTTTCATTTCGAGCGTGAAAGCAACTCGAAGGTAGGAAACGGCGGATTAAGGGCGAAAATGATAAATCACGTTGATGTAATGAAAGAAATCGATTTGGCGGCGATGGAAATGAATTTCCAGCTGAGATTCAACGCGCGCCGATTGTCCAGGTGGTGGTGAAACGCGTAGATTTGAAACGCGAACGAGGTGGCCGTCCATCCGCAGGATCGTTTGACGCTTTCTAACCCGGGGGTGTCGGCCAATCGAGCCGAGCTGAAATTGCCTTTGAAGCTGATCGAGTCCGTTCTAAACCGTAAACGAATGGCCACCTGGGTGCCAAAGATATCGGTGTCTTGTCATCGATGAAATCCTTATAGAAGTTTCGGCCAACAAAGGGACGACACCCTTTCAATTCGAACGCTAGACGGTTTCTGTAACTCGATTTGTTCCACGAATGACCGGTCAAAATTAATTTTTCTTCCTCTTCTACAATCATAGAAATACTCCTACAATCATAGAAATACTTGTGTTGGATGAATTTGTATCAATCGCTATTATATTATGGTATACACAGACTGTCGGAAAAGTAACGGAACTTTTTTAATTTGAGGAAAGCGCCATATATTGAAACAATATTTTATCTGAAAACAGTGTACCTACAAAACACAACAATCAACAACTGTATATGGTAACAACAATCAGCAACTGTATATTATTATATCATAAGTAGAAGGTGTATCTCTTCTTTTAGAACACTGCACACATTAAGTAAAATTCAACGTCCCCTATACTTGTATACGACACAAATTATTGGTCGATTTTTCAGATGGTTCTGAAGGTGGTTATTTAAGATGGTTATTTCGGAAGACGGTTATTTCAGAAGTACCCGAAGAAATAAGATATTTCTAAAGAAAGTCTCCGACCGCACATATTCCCGAAAACCCATGAAGTCCAAAAGAAAAAACGCTCGCATTTCCGAGCGAACGTGACAAGATGCTCGAAATGGTTAAAATGCTCGGTAAATAGCGATCGTCTCGGCAATTCCAAACGGAGAATTCCGTTCTACGGAATTCCATCTACTCGATTCGTCAAATAATAATTCCGGCATTTCTCGTCGCTCCGGTGTATTCCTCTTTCGTCGGTGACCCGTTTCCGGTATCTCAGTCACACTCCGCGCAAATCCCTTCGCGTATCAGTTCCAGCTCTCCTCGTCTGTTTCTCTTCTGATATGACGGACATCATAAAATATTCGAGGCACAGAGGAGATTCGGTAATAGAATTCGTCGACTCGCGGTCGCTTGGCTCCGTGGAATCGCGAATATTTGGGCCAAGTCCAAGGGTCATAGGTCGACTATGCAGCAGGTTACGCCACTTAGGGTAGCTCTGCTAATTGTATTAATGCTGGTCGGTTCGTCCGGATCAAGAGGCCGTTGTTATAATCCCACGGTAAGCCGTGTTGCTAGCCAGCCGTATTCATTGTCGAGATGCAACCCGTTTAAATGTTTCCGCTCCCTGAAACAGCGATCGACTTTCAGACTCCTACAGTTTCTTGGACTTCCGTAAAACTTGGATCTAGGGATAATCAGCTCGATGGCGTGGAATTTAAGGAAACTTGCGGAACGGATACCTGATCTTCCTCTTTTATTTATATGGTCATTTCTGATGGCATATGACTCATATAATACAATATTATTTATCACTTATGTTACTGTTATAAGTGTTGTTAATGTACATCTATCAATTAGTCTACAGGTAATGAGAGAAAATTGTTTTGTGGATCTAATTCATGTATCTACATAACCTATGACATGCTTCTATATAACCTGTAACATTATACTTCTGTGATGCCTGTAATATTATACTTCTATAAAACATGTAACATTATACTTCTATAACACCTGTAAATTTATACTTCTGTAGGTGTCACATTATACTTCTATAAAACCTGGAACATTATACTTCTGTAGGTGTCATATTATACTTCTATAAAACCTGTAACATTATACTTTTAAAGATGTCACATTATACTTCTATAAAACCTGTAACATTATACTTCTGTAGGTGTCACATTATACTTCTATAAAACCTGTAACATTATATTTCTAAAGGTGTCACATTATACTTCTATAACACCTGTAACATTATACTTCTATAACACCTGTAACATTATACTTCTATAGGTGTCACATTATACTTCAATGATACCTGTAACATTCTACTTCTATAAAACCTGTAACATTATACTTCTATAAAACCTGTCACATTATACTTCTATGAAACCTGTAATACTTCTACAAAACTTATGACATTGTACTTCTATGAAACCAATAACCTTACATAACCTACAATATTTATTATTTATGAAATGTTTCTGGGATTAGTATTTCTGTCGATTTCAAAGAAAAAGTAAGAAAGTCATGTATTTTTCCGATTTTCTTATCGAAAAACTTCGAATCGTGTAAGTTGTATATTGCATACGAACGTATTGAAGATACAGCACATATCTATTTCTTACCTTTGTCATGTAATACCGAAGCTGTCACATTCTTTTCTGGAGTCTGGTGTGTATCAAGGAAGGGACAAGCGTTATTTCGAATTTCTGGATGCAATTCCAACACCATCGGCGAAGAAACACGATCGATAAATAAATACGAGGGGAGAACATTTTCACATGGTACAGATAAAAGCGTGTGGACGATTTTGAAAATTTCTGGGAAATTGTAGTCAAATTCCATTTCGATTCTAATGTGATTGCGATGAAATTCTAACGAAATTTTATTGCGGGGGAATTATGATGAAATTTTATTGCGATGAAATTTCAAAGGGGCTCTAATAAAAATATTTATAATAGAACTATAGTGTTTTATTAAAGTTCTAATAACGTTTTAGTAAAATTTTATTTAATGAAATTCTAGTGAAATTCGGTGCGTCACTAATCACATGATATAAGCAACATACGGCGCACATGTGTCATCGCTTGAATCATATAACTAGC